GGTGATGAAGAAGCAGTGGAACAGCGCTATGCCATGCTATGCGAGACCCCTGATGAATTTTATAAAAACAACAAACAGAATAAAAACATTATCGCTAGTGGGCCCAACGTACGTATGCCTGCAACACCACACAGTACAGCCTCGGGACATCAAGACAATCTTCATTAGGTAAAATAAAGGCTAGACGTTCAGAAGAGTATATTATGAGAACGTTACGTATAGAGAGATAGGGTTAAGGTACAGCTGAAGACTCCCTTTTAAATATATATTTATAAGCTAAAATCATCTTTCGCTCACGTAATGTTTATCCCCCATGTTGGGGGGCCCACTGGAAATGGAGACCCCTCGATGTGTGTAGCACGTCAGGTGAGCTCTGAATGGAGACCCTCAACGAGACAGTCACACTCCACAAATATAATAAGCATGGTAGTGGACCCTCCTCCTGTTCTTGCGCAATAAAATTATTAACAGAGGCTGACTCATTATTGTAATGCGCAAGATTTTTACGGTCAAGTGTTTTTGGGACTGTCAATGTTTGTACCCCCCCCCCTTGCACACACCCATTAACTCATAGAGACCTGTGAGCTTACACAGCAAATATGTGAAGTCTAAAACGGAACTACACAAAACTGTTGGCCAATGGTTTTATCAACGAGTTAGGGACAATGAAAATAAGACAAGCACTACCAAATAAGTGTGGTGTTTTGGTCTTTCTTGATTTCATTGTCCACAAGTCACAGGCAAAACAATTGGCCAATAGTTTTATCACACTGCAGTGCCAGGTTCATCACTTGAGATGGGTGGCAGGCTAAACACCACATAAAAGAGAGATAAAAAGTTAGGAAGATGTACATTTCAACAACCCAACCCACTCCTTTTAAAATAAGGTAAAAGCATCTTTTAAGCATGAAGGCACGAGCCAAATGCGGTCCTACTTAAAAGTAAAGGTGGAGACCCTGTATGTGTGTAATAATACAGTAATAGGCCAAGTAGTTCAGAACGGAGGGCTTAAGTTTATTTTTACCAAGAATTTTACCACAGAATTACAACAACTGCCAGAAAAAAAATTAAGTCAAATATTTATTAGCCCATCCAGGAAACCAAAACAATGACTTTGGGTCACATGAACATTAGGTAGGCAGGGCACTGGGCAAAAAGAAGAAGAGCACTTTCAGCAACCTCAAACCCAGAGTTACCATCTATCACCAATAAAAAGCCACACACACAACAACAGAGTTTTCTCCTCCCATTTGGTATTCTATGATGTAAATGTGACAGCTTCCCCATGATAGTACAACACACACGAACACATAGACATACACGCATTAAATTATAATATTTCCCTATAGTACAGGCCTACTTTTAACCTTTTTACCAATGATTGCGAAAAACCACACTTTAACTTAGAGGTTAGTCGCAGTGCAAAGTGTAAATAATAATCATGATTATAATAACAAACAGCATTTATATAGTATAATAGTGCTCTATCAGGAGATCACATAGAGGTGGCACATTGAAATTAAATATCGAAGCACTGAGAAAAATACTGATAATTCGACATATTGATATGCTTACCACTCAGCATCGCATTTCCAGGAATTAGCAGACTGATTTTATGTTTCCCCCACAACAACACATACACACACACAAAAAAAATCAATTTAAAAAAACCCCCCACCAAAACAAAATGGAAGACAGCCGTGTTTTGCGCGTCGATCGACCAGACTCTATAATTACCGATATATTTGTTGGCGAATTTCAATTTATCTATAACAATTTTGAAATATCGAGACGATCGATATTTCTTGAGGAAAAAATATTGAATATTGCTTGCATCGCATTCCATATTGCTGATATCACCAATCACTACTATCACGTAAGCTCTGAGCACTATAGACGTCTTTTTTGTAAAGTGTCTTACGGCGCTCGCAACTGCATAAAGTCATATGAGCGCGCAGGACACACCTAATATTTTCAGTTGGAAGGAAATTTTGAATTTTGCCCGGGTGGTGGCCGAAGCCTACTCTTGTCGATTTTAGACCACCAAGGGATTTTTAACGTTCGCAACTTGCACACGGGCTGTCCAAGATTTTCGCCCTTGTCCGAGAAGGCTAGGTGTAGATCTTTCCTATCAGAAGATTAGGGGTGTGGCAGAAAGACAGCAGTAAGGAGGAGCCAAGGAGAAAGGCTGCAGAAAGAGTCAGGAGCCGAGAAAAGGGGGCAAAGGAGGTGAGCGGGTGGGGGCAGAAAGTGGAAAGGAAAGGAGACAACAGAACATTGCTAGAGAGCAGAAAAGGAGGTGAAAGGAGACAATTTTAGAGAAGAAAATTTTTCGGTCGCTACCCAGATTCGAACCCAGGACCTTTGAATGAGAGGCCAACACCTTAACCTCTAGGCCACGAGAGCCCCCCTATAGACAGACGTCTATCGTTTTTCAAGAAAATTGACGTGTCAAACTTTAAAACAAGTCACGCCTACATGCTTAAACTTAACTACCCAATCATTAAAGGATGAAATGCATTCAAGTCAGTTACATCAGAAACATATTAGGGTTAAATGATGTATGAAAGTGTGAATGAGAAAGGACACTTGCCACCCCGAGAAAAAAACCATAATCATGGATCTTTCGGTACAATTTTACAACCCCCCCCCCGCACAGAAATGCACTATTTTCAAGAGCCTGACTGACATTCTTTTAGTCTGAACACGAAAATAACGAAACACGTCGCAAATCAATAGGCTTACTTTGCAAGATATTTGGAGCTTAAACTTACGTAACATTTGCATACACGCGTTTAGTAAGCTATATTTGCATACATGTAACTTACTTTTCTAATTGTAAAAAGCAATATAAAAATATTAACATAGAGGATATTTGTGTACAGCGCATCAATATTCAGTAGAAAATAGCCATGTAGTAGCTGTGTGTGAGACGGGGG